TAAACTGAACTCCAGAAAGTAAATCAAGTGTTTAGGGTTCATTGAATGGATTTTTAAGTCCATTGCATGGGGACTTGAAATGGTCATATATCCCAGACCTCCGACTAATCTGTCTCTAGTGTGCAAGAAAATGAGAAATACTTTGGCATCAAAATGTACAATGACGGGGCACTTGGCCACATACACCAAGGCTGGTGGGTTCGAGCCTGGCCCAGGCCTGCTAAACGACAATAACAACTGCGATGAAAAAATAGCCAGGTACCGTGACTGGTGCCTGTAGTCCCAGCTACTCAGGAGGCTGAGGCAAGAGAATTGCTTAAGCCCGAGAGTTGGAGGTTGCTGTGAGCTATGATACCAGGGCACCTACTGAGTAGTGACATAGTGACACTCTGTCTCCAAAAAAAATAAATGTTGATTGAAATGATGATTGGAATAGTGGGGTCAGGAAAGAAGGGAAATGTGCAGATTTATTGTCATAAAAGAGATAAGGAGATTTAGCTATGAATAGGAGGAAGGTCTGATGGCATGGCTGATCAAGGTCCATTTTTGAATAGCTCAATATTCTAGAATAAACACTGAATTCCCATCCATGAATCATTCTTTAAGAAAGAAAGTACTGGTACCTAACACTTTCTTCTCCACCTATATTCAAACTCCCTAAATTCAATTCTGAGTCAACGTTAGCCATCAGAAATTATAGGCATTATTTCCCATGCAATCTATACTTTGTTGTTTCAAAAGATAAAAGAAGACAGTGGATTGGCTTCTCTTTCTCTCTGGGAAAGAACATAAAAAGCCACACAAAGCATGAAATGAGCAGCATGATGGGAGGTGAGGTGCAGCATGAATCTGGAAAATACATTTCATGTTTGTGAGGTGACTCTTAGGCAAAACTCTGGTGACATGTAGATCACCAGCTAACATAAGTTTGCTATGTTCTTTGGAACTTGCACATTTTCTTTTTCACCTCATCTTTTGATATCGACTGTATGATTCATAGGAGGTTATACAGTGATGCTGGATGTGTCTGGGTACAAATCATGCCTGAACACAAAGGTTAGTGGATGCATACAGGTGAAAGTTGAAGAAACTGGAAAGCAAACACGTGAGGTGACTCGAGCCCTCTTTTAGGCACTGTTCCCGACTGAGCATCAGAAACCCAGCAGCATCTTTCTGGTGCACTTCTCATGCTCCCTCCACCTTCACAATTCTGTCTCCTTCCCAGCTGCCCTCCCCATTGCCTTGGCCTCTATTTCATCTGATGCTGAGGCTGAAAGCTGAGCTGCCCTCAGGGTGGTCCACAGTGTGAGTTCACCACAGTTGGGCTGTGAGAAGTAGACTTCGATGCTAAGAGTATATCCTAAGTAGCAGGCTTGGGAATCTGCATTTTAATAAGCGTCTGATTCTAATATAGGTAATCCTTACACTGGTAGCATTAGCACATGATATTTACAGACAAGAGCCCAGGGCCTCAGCATAAGGCTGAGAGCTCCACATGTCTTTCTTAGTTCATAAATATTAATCCCAGCTAAGGGGCCTGAGCAGTTGGAGGATATTATGGCTTGGCAAGGCTGCCATGTTGAGAATGGTTGTGGGATGCCTGGGACAAGTAGGAACCCCAGAGAGGGAGTCTGGGTTCCCTTCCAGGCAAGCTGGATGTCCAGTGTTCTGACTGTTGACTGGGGTCAGGGCTGAGGGAGGCAGTGAGAAGCTAAACAAAGCAAAGGGCAAGGTGAGCCCATCCACGGGGGATA